ACATTCAATCCATGTCAAGGAAGAGCCAGTGATTGCGGAGGATGAAGACTGCCCAATGTCCTTAGTGACAACAGCTAATCACAGTCCGGAATTAGAAGACGACAGAGAGATTGAAGAAGAGCCTTTATCTGAAGATCTGGAATGAGAACTGACTTGTAAAACCTCAACGTGAAGGGACATATCACTGACCTTCATAACCACTCCACAACCATGAATATTTGACACATTTTTACTGTGACTATTTATTAAGCATGGATAAAGGAGACAGCCCTAAAGGAACTTATTAAGCCAGCCCTTTGGGATTCAGTACCAACAGGCAAATTGCTTGTTTTCTTCTCTCTCTTTTTTTTTAGAAAAAAAAAGATAAAAACTGATTTTCTTGAAAAAAAAATTGAACTGTTCTTTCTATAATGGCTTTGCCCATTTAAAAAATGTGGCTCTTAAGGGTTCATGAAATGACTGAATATGAGGATATATGTCCTGTAGAAAGCAAACGCGCCTCATATACTGCCAAAAATAGTGTTAGTTTCATTAATGTGAATTTTCCAGCATTCAGTAGTTGTAATGTTAGAAACAATTGCTGGTCAAGTTCAACTTGTTGCTATTGTTTTTAATTTGCACAGGAGTAGTATCAGAAATTAGTGTCACTGCTTGTATCTAGCGGAATTTTAAACAACAGAACATTAGTTTTTTATGTTGGTGCCACCAACTGTAAATGACATAAGTTAGTTATTACAAAACACAGTAATTAGACTGTTGCAACCATCTAAAACCTTAGGCTTCCAGTCTGTGCTGTTAGTGTTAAGATGTAAAGTGCAATCCTAAGCTGACATTATCTGTGCAAGCACCATAGAAACATTTGCATATCTGCATAGATCTTACAACTGTACTCTTTACCTCCTTGTGATAAAGCTTTGTCTACCTGCAAACACAGTCAAAGGCTACAGCTGCAAACCAAAGCCGACTCTAACCATGGCCAAGAGCTCAAGGACAGAAGCAGCCACATGCTTTGGTCAGCCTTCTGTAACTTCAATTAGTACAAAGGAACCTTTTCCATGAACTACCTGCTGTTTTCTGATGACCTCTGGGATCTTTTCATTTAGCCCTAAACAAAGAATCAAAAATGACACAAACCACAACTAAAAAGTTCTTTCAGTCACAGAGTAATCTTCTGAGGCCAAAAGTCCATCTAAATGCAATGAAGATTTGCTTTCATTAAAGACAGAGGTGAGGACAAAATCCGCAGTGGAAGTTATGATATGCTAGAAAGCAACAAATGTGGATCACTGACCAAAACGATTATGTACTTGATGCAAATGCAGATTGCATATTGTTATATATATAGTACATTGTGTTTTTGTTTTCCCCATCCAGTCACTTATTTTTGGTGGTGAATACATGTTGTTAGAAGATGTCTTGTATGGTCTTAATCTTTGTTGTGTACTATTTTTTATAGTCTTAAGTTATAATGAAAAATAAAAAAAAACAAAATGTAGGAACCAAACATAAAAGGTCTAGTAAAGCCAAAAATTAATTTCATATTGATTTTAAAGTGATCTAGCTGAGTTTTTACACTGAAAGCAAAGATGATAGCAATTGTAGTCCATGGTATTTATTTTCAGTCAAACCAAAGTTACATATAATTCTGCCTCTGCTTATACGGGATATTAACACTAACAATACACTCCCTTTCAAAGACTTGCACAGGCCAAATTGTTGGAATGCTGATTTTCTTGACAACTCCAAACCCCAAAACTATGATAATGCGTTATGGTGTAGTTGAAAATAGCATAGTCAGATGTTTGCTTAAAACCTAGAAACTTTACGTGTTGCTTTTCATGTGCTGTGCCAAGTCTTGATAATACTTTTTCCCCCAACCAAGGGACCTCATAACCTGATTATGGTTATTGCTTTACAAACAGTTTTGACAGAAGGTGGCTGCTAGAGCTTAACATACGTACCAGTTCCATGTGATGGAGCTGGTTCTTGCAAACTAAGCTCATCATTTATTCTTTGCTGAAGTCAGCAAATAGAGTTAGAGAGATACCCAGTCATCTATCACACCAAATAAAAGGACATAACGGCTTTCAAAAGGGTTTTCCCACTTACCCAAAAGGCTTTCTGAAAGCTTCTACCTCTGCAAAAAAAAAAGAAAAAAAGAAAAAAAAAAGAAAAAAATTAGAACAATTATGGCAGATTGCATGAAACGTGAGAACGTCACAGTAACTGCTACTTTTCATTATGTTTGTCTTTGGGTCATGATCAACGAACGGGAAGTTTACAATACAGTATCAAAAGAAAGATTGGTATTGTGAAGGAAAGTTTTCAGTCATCTGGGATCCTACTGTATGGATTATCTGAAGGGAAAATGGGTCTTTCAGGTGCATGTTCAAAAGGCTTTGATGGACTGAAAGTAACTGTGAGAGCTGTACCATCAGGAGGGCGGCCTAAGACTACAATGCTAAAGTATGCATACCTCAGTTACAAAACTTTTGAAAGGAAGTCTCAGCCACAGAATGCATATACCTGTAGAGTTTTGCATGGGTTTTATATGAATACAATTTTAAAAAATAGCTGCTTGCACATTATACCAGAAAAACCTCCAAAACTGCAATTGCTTTGAAAATAGATTTTAGGTTTTTTGGAGTTTTCTGAAATGCTTGGTCTGTATTTTGATAATTGTGCATATTATGTAAAAATGTTGGTGGACCCATAAATGACCAGACTTTTTCTAAGAAAAATGTTGCTTTAATGCATTTCATGAATTTTTACTCTTATATCATTGCTTGCTAGTAATAGCAAATCTGCTTTTCTGCATCTGCTTTGCGTAGCTATTGTAAGGCTTTGAACTAATGTATGTATTTATTGCTTGAACTTCTGTGCATACCTTATAAAGCATAATGTCTGACAATTTAAATGGCTCATGTATTCTTGCTTCTATCATAAGCTGATTATGGGGACTATGATCTTTTGTATACAGCAAATTTTAACTGTAGCACAAACATCTGTTTATGTATTGGTGGAATATACCTGTTTTATTTATCTTTTTTGAGGTAAACTAATTTTTGATACTTTTCATTACTGTGTACTATGTTCATACTTTGAATTCTCTGACGTTAGAAGTCATGGTTGAGAAATGTAACAGCTGTTATTCGTTCTGTATTCATGGCTTTCACTGCTGAATAAAATAAAGGACCAAACCTAGGATTTGAAAGAAAACTGTCTACCTCTAACACCAGGGAGTTATCAGATTTTATTTTACATAGTTTTTGTCTACAAAAGACACAATTGCTTAAACCTAGTGGGCTTAAGGCATATATTCTGTGTGGTTGGATTCATGGCACACTTGTACTGTTTGAAAATCAATTAAAATTTCATGTGAATGTTACAAGTATTTGGTAGAATTACCACTAACTGGGTTTTCTTTAGATAACTCAGATATGGAGAGAATGTCATCAGCATTCTGTGTCTATAGCTGCTTAACTTCATAAGAATGCACTTCTTTGTGATTAGGGAATCGAAGAATAGTCAGCTAGGAATAGAGCTACAGAAGTACACTTAAAATAAACCATCCTGGACTCTATTGTCCCTGGGCAGATTTCAGTCACAAAATCCATTAGACTATTTTGTAAAGTTTTCAAATTGGGCGTTCACATTTTGGACAATTTATGAGTCTTCATCCTACACATGCCAATATTAACATGCATTTGGACAATAGCTTTATTAACACCATAAGGCTATTGAAAGGAATATGGCTTACCCTTGGTTATTTCAATAGTTCAGGTTGCAATGAAAAGTGTTTTGTTTTGTTTTTTTTTTGTTTGTTTGTTTTTTGTCCATGAACACTTGGCAAATCAGCAAAAAGAAAAAGGATGTACATTTTCCTATAGAATTAATGTATGAACAGTCTGTCACTGCTGTTGGATGTAAAAATGTATATGAAAACATTTCACTCACTTGGTTACATTTCTGAAGTATAAATAAAATATCTAATTCTTTTGACCCATTTATAACCCCTAGGATTTTATTCTTTCACAGAGACCATTCTTCCATGCCAGAGCCAAGTTATAAATTTGTCCCACGATTTGTTTAAAGTCATTTTCTTAGAAATTGGGAAATCATAAACTGGATTATGCTCAAATTTGTCAGTGAAAGTGGGGGCTGTTTGTCAAATACATTCCATTAATAACTATCTTCAAGTTCAAAATTTGCTTCACATAATCATCTCATGTTTTTATGTTTTATAGTAATAGAATTTGACATCATAAATTCTGAGCCTTGAAAAGAAAAAGGGAAAACAAGATTACATTCTCTTAACTTTATGACTTTTTAAATCTTATCCTCTTTTTTTTTTTGGTCTCCAAGTATCAGTCAAACCCATGCCATCCCCCCATGGCTTAGGAAAATGCCCGACTAGTGTAAGTATGTTTCGAAGGGAATGCTTTTCAAGCATTGTAGGATTAGCCCCACGCCTGTATCAGAGGCAAAAGTAAGCAATTTAACACTTCAACAGAAAGAAAGCTTGCCTTTTTCTTTAACTTGAATATACCTAAATCTGTCCTAATCAGAAGTAAAAGGTAAGTGAACACATTGAGTGTATTCTTATTGTATACATAATTTAGCATTTTCTGTCATGCCACTGAAAGACTATCCTGCCTAAAAGAGCTTTCCACAGGATAAATGTTGCTTTAAAAAATGTGAACATTAGATTAATTTTCTCAGACCTTAAAATTCATTTTTCACTATTGATTTAGTTGCAAGTAAATGAATACCAACTTGCCCTTGTCCAGTGTATTTTGTTAACTTACTAAAAGCTACATAATAAGGAGAATCCAATCCTGCCACTCTTTATACTACAATGTAAGGAAAACAATTTAGAGTTTAAACTATTTAGGAAGGGAGTAAAACTAATTCGGCATATTGTACATAAACCTAGGTTCAAACTCATGGCATCCTATTTGAAAACACTGTGTTGCCCAGATATGTATGGTATTATATGAATGGCGGTTTCAGCAGCTGTGTAAAAAATCCCGTACTAATTCTTTTGAGTTTGTAAAAATTAAAACAAAAATGATGGCAACTTTAAATAAACAGAATAGATGTAGAGATCTGGAAAAGTCACATTCTAAACATTTCTCCAGTCAGAATTCCTGAAAACTAAGTATTCAACTTCTGACTATTCCAAATACTTTACAAAGTGAGATTCAGACAAATTCTAAGTTTCAACATGATGAAGGAAGCTCAGAAAAGAAACTCAGCTACGCACTTTCACTGGAAACCAGTTTTTAAACTTCTACAAAACTTTTAAACACCAGAGAACATGAGAATATGCAACTGGAGAAGATAGTATGACTTGGCCCTGATTTAATGTGTTGTTCCTTTTACTTTCTCTCTGTTTGCTTACCATCGATACAGACACAAGGAATAATGTGACACTCGAATAAACATATAGATCAGTAGTGGTGAGAGAGGTAGAGAGTGATATTTCTGGGGAGTTCGCACCTTACATTGGCTGATGGGTTATGCAAATGCACGCATAATTCTCACACGCACACACATACTTCTGAAATAAAACAACTTTACATCCTAAACATATATTGTTGATTTCACACTCTGCTGCTGAGGTTTATTTGAGAGTCTTTGAAATAAATATCAACCAACCTGTCCTTCATCGAAGCTGATTTTATCTTTAAACTTTTAGCTCTTTAATTTCCAGTGCTCCTGTAGAAAACTGAAACATCTACATAGCAAAAATGATTACACATTGAGGATCATTGAGGGCAAAGCTTTGGAAGTGAACAGTCACTGAGGAGAGGGTGCGTGGAAAGGAGAAAGGAAAATAAAAACAGCTGTTAAAATACTTAAGCTGTGATCAGAAGATTTTTCAACTTTTAATGTCATGATTATAAAACTGAAGTCATTGATTTGAAACTTGACTAGTTATGTGATTCTCTTCTCAATCACTTGTACATCTGTCTTATGCTTAATAGTAATTTGATATTGCTCCAGAAATTGTGCAGAGCTGCCCACAGCTTCCCTTGATACCATTTAGGGCCTCCAATGTGCTGCACAGCTGCCATCTCTTCCTTCCTGGGAGGTAGCTATTAGCACTGGAGATGTGGCTCACAGGAGACATGGGAGGGGAGAGTTGACTTGGCCCCCCTGCTCAACTCTCCTTTAAATAGATTTAAATGATGCTATAGAAAATTCAGCATCTACAAGTTACCTATCCTCTTTGATCAAATAGTCTTAAAAAGTTAACTAGAAGTCTCAGTGGAAAGTTATAAAATTAAAAATGCATCTCTCCTAATACAGAGTTATATATATATATATATATATATATATATATATATATATATATATTCACATACCCTCCACGGCCAAAAATAATTAAGCTTTACAGAAAAAAAGGAGCAACTGAGAAAAACTGAGGCAAACATCAAGCTGAGAGTTCTTCGAATTGAACTCTACACCAAAATTTAAGTGTTCCATTTAGTGACATTCATCTGAACAACTCATCCACAAGAACACAAAACCACAGAACCTCAATAGAAACATGTCATCTGGAAATACTAGATCTAGGGGTTAAAAGTGTTGTATTAATATAAAAAGTTTGCTATCAACACCACATTTATAATATTTGGTCTCTGGTAAAAGACTAATTAAAAGTTAATCAAAAGGAATAAATTACAAATAATTAAATGAGTTGTAAAATCATTTTACAGATCAAATTGGTTTCTCAAAAGTCTTGAGAATCTATGTCAGTCTCATGAAATAATCCAACATTTTGGTCTTCTCTAGTCCCTGACATATGATCTTATGCATGTTCTACTTACTTGCCACTGCTGAAAGCTGATTTAATACCCCTGTTTCATAAGTATGTTTGTTATTTATTTCACCTTTCATTTTCCCATAATATTAGAAATAACACTGTAGTAGTCTACATCATAAAAATTGAAATATTTCATTAATTTATTTTCTGCTTAAAATGTAACTTAAAGGTGTTATTATTGGATAATGTGTATATCAATAGCTGTCATTTTGCTGAAGGAACAGTCTTGGCCAGATAGTCATTACTATCCTAATTTTCTAAGGAGGATGTCCAGGTACTACAATTGTTATTTCCAGCATTTAGAAAAATTATTGGGTCACTTGAATACATATGGTACATAAATTTGAGAGATAGTCACATTGAGAACAGGCATCTAAATATAAGCTTCAAGTTATTTAACAGAAGTTAAATAACATATCAGGGTTTATTTCCAAGAAACCTAATCAAAAGAAGGAGAAAAAAGTTTTTATATAGCATGTCAAAGAACTCAGAAATTATGGCTTGAACAAAAAGGGAATTCATTTTCTCTTACCCAGAAAGCAGTAATATTGCTTTATAAATGATAATATTGAAACCCATGAGAAGGCTAATATTAGTAGCAACTTTATAATCAGTGATCAGGTAACTGTGTTCAAAAGGTGGAATTTTAAGTCAATATATGTATTTTCCCATAGTTTCCACAAAAACCATCCACTCATCTTTTGACTTTTAGAAAACATAGATGTTATTTCATTACTCAAAATATTCTTGACCGAGCAATAATAGACCCTTTTATTTGCAAGAGGCTTCCTCTTCCAACCCATTTGAAAGAGAGTGCACCGATGGAGAGCTAACAGGTCGGGATCTATTACTCCATACATTTTCTAACAGGAATAGAATTGAATGCAGGATTTGAATCAGAAATGGGGAAACTGGTTTCATGTAACTTGCCAATTCTGATTGATTTATAGAGACTACCTAGAGTACCTAGCATATAGTAGATGTTCAATAAATATCTAATGACGGATTATGAAGTCATTTTTTTGTTTTACATGAAAATGTGCCAATTTGCTAACAATGTCTGCCCTAAGAACAGGAACAGGAGCAGGACATATGGTTTACTGATTTGCCAATCCATGTTTGTATTCCTCAATAGCAAGAAATCTGAGAAGTTTTTACAGTGTGGATCAAAACCAGGAGGTTTATCAGTAGACGTAACTGGCATATTGGGTAACAAAACAGGTTAGGTAGCAAATACAATTAGTGAGAATATTAGATTTGGTGAATTTCTGTTAGACATAAAGCCTTGAATATTGATCTCTGTGCTTGGTGGCTACTTGGGGACTATCTCACTTGATCCCAATTCTTGAGGAATTGAAACTCATGCTGAGTTGCACACCTGAGCGTATTTTACTGAGTGTGCACGCCTGGGCCTGGAGGCGGGCATAAAGGCCGTGGCAGCTACGGCAGTGAGAGAGGACAAGCTGCTGAATGCAGAGAGGCAAGACCACGAGAGATGCCAGAGAAAGGGTAAAGATTCGAGGGGGCTGGGAGGCGCCATTGCGGGCTGCCTCAGGCTCCACCCCGCCGAGGGTTGCCTGCCTCCTTGCATGCCAGCCTCCCTGCCGGGTACACCGGGTGCCTGGTTGCCCGAGGAACCCATTAAAGCCTGAAAAAACCAACCAAGGCCTCCAGGACCCCCTGTCCATGTGCCGGGGCTGATATGAGCCAGCCCCGGGCGAGCTCACGCTAGGACATCCCACCAGAGCAGCACAGCCGAGATGGTAACTGAAGCGGATGCCTCCTGAGGGCTGACTGAACAGGACAGAGGCCATGATAATCACAGCTGAGGGCAATCGGTGCTTAGGCCCCTGGATGTGCAAACAGCGGGCGGGGCCAGAGCCCTTTGTGAGGGGCCTTACGGGCCTTTCACCGCAAAGCTCTGCCAGGCCGAGCGCCTCTTGACTCCTCGCCCCCATGGGTACGGGGTACACTTGATCTGGGTCGGGGGTCGGAGCGCTCTGGCTCTGCCTCTGCTGAGGGTCTGAGCCACATCGACCACCCTCTGCTGGCTGAGAGGCCTGCGCTTCGGAAGGTCCCTGGAGCTTGTCCCGCCTCCTGGTTGTCCTGGCAACTGCTGCACGCTGCTCCCGAGGTTTTTATGCTAGTCCACGGTTTTCCCACCA